CCACACCACAGACACCCACACACCACAGACACCTACATCAGATGCCCACACCGCAGACACGCTCACACCAAAGACGCCCACACCAGACACCCACACACCAGACGCCCACATACCACAGACACCCACACACACAGACACACCCACACCACAGACACACCCCTACCAGACACCCACACACAGACACACCCAAACACAGACACACCCCCACATGGATACCGCCCTACACGGACACCCCCACTGCAGGTCTTACGTGTCTTTTGAAGGATTTCCGAATGTAGCCCTGCGCTGTTTTCTGTACTATAGCGTAGCGTCTGACACAATACACATTCTCTTGGGGCTTAATGACATTGGCAACCACTTCCACCAGCTTGTTGTGAGGAATGGTGTCATAAGCCCCCGTCACATCGACCTGCAAGACAAGACGAAGTACCTGTGAGCAGTTGCCTTACAGCATCTCACCTGTGCCCCTCTCCCCTCACGGCCACTGAGGGGTTGGCGGGCTCACAGAGCTTCAGAGAGTCCAGCTCCCTGCAGCAAACCCCATCTGAGCCCCACACCCTCCAGACTGAGGACTGAGAGAGAAGGAACCCATCTGTGTCCCTCTCTCTGAGCAGAGGATTGATGAACAGGGAACCAGCCTCCTGCCCCTCTCGGAACCACGAGCAGGCAGTATTTGCAAATCCTTCCCCTAATCAGCAGCACACTGCTGGAGTGGAATGGACGCCAGGCCCCACTTCTGAGCAACGCACCCTGACAGCAGGCAGGTGTATATGAAGTCACTACCACCCCAAGTGGCCATGCGGCTGTGAATCCAGGTGGGACCAGGTCAAAGTCCAAGTCACCCCATGCCCACCTACTCCGCTCTTGGGAATGCCTACATGCAAGGTCTGTTGTCATCAGCTGTCATTCAACCACCCCAACTCAAGGTGACCCCACACATGATGGAAGGAAACACAGGCCTTGATCGGCTGTGGAGCAGATTGTTGCGATCCATGGGGTCCTGAGTGGCTGACTTTCAGAAGGATATCACCAGGCCTTTCTTCCTACTTCATGTGGGTCAGAAGCTCTGTTCAACATCGTAGCAACATACAAGCCTCCACAGCAGACAAATGGGTGGTGGCTGTATATAAGTGCACTGGCTGGGATTGGAACCCAATTTCCAGCATGTTAGGCGAGAATTCTACCACTAAGCTGCCACTGCCCACACGCAACTGGAAGTCCTGGCTGTTAACTCAAAGACCGGAGGCCCAATAGGGGCCATATTATCACCAGGCGAAACACATGGCAGATCTCCCTGCCCAAACCAGTGATGTGACTTCACCAGGCAGCCACTCAGCAGACACCCCGGAAACGCCAGGGGAAGACTCACCTTGACAAAGTAGAGCTGGGACCCAGGGTCCCCGGCCCGCACCCGCTGCACGAAGGCCCGCCAGGCTTTGTACACATCATCAATCCCGAGCATGGAGGCTCCCAGCAGCCCTGGCCGCAGGGTCCGCTCATAATTGAGCACGCTGAACAGGGTCTTCATTTGCGAGGTGCAATGCTGAGCCTGAAGCCCGGAGGACCCAAAACAAGGAATGTAGTTCAGAACAGTGTCCCCAAAGCCCAGAAAGGGGCCCTCAGTTCAGACAGCCCCCATTAAGGACTGCAAGGGCAGGAAGACATTCTGAGGTTGCCTGAGGACCCCAACTCTTAGCCCTCTCCTTCTGCCTCCCCACAACCAGCTTTACCTCCAAACTCCAAAGATTCCAGAAATGCAGAGATCAAAACCACCCACCCAGTCTAATCTACCAGGCGCTCCTGGGTGCCATAGGACCCTCGAGTGATCCCAGGGAAATCTGTCAGAAAAAAACCCTACCAGTCCCACACAAGACCCTTGTCCTCCCCACTTGTCCCCAGGGCCTTCATAGTAGAGTCAAGAGTACATGCTGGCCCTCAAGGAGACCACACCCCGGTTCAGTTTCAAACCCTGAGTCCACCAGATCAGACCCAGCTCGCCCTCACCAGTCCCTGCACTTGGCTGTGGGTGTCACCAACCGTACCACCTCCCTCAGCAAGCAGTGACACTGAGGAAGGGTCGGAGCAGCCTGTGAGGCAGCGAGACTGAGGTCACAGACTCCCAGTCATGGGGACATGACCACAGAGGTCACCTGTGCTATGTCCCCAGCTCCCAAGTCTGCAGCGAGCAGTGCACTACAGCGGGGTCACCGAGAGACAGGGTACCAAGAGCTCACTAGTCTTCAATGGAGTCCCCGAGTACCGGGGTCATACGGCACACTGTTTCAACAGAATCCCAGGGCACAGGGGCAGAGGAGGCCAGGGTCCCAGAGCAGGGCCAACTTCTGACCGAGGTCCTCAGTGCCTGGTGGTATTGCCTGGGGAGCCTAGGAGCCACCCCTCACTGTCCTCCACCATTGCTGGGGCAACAGTGGGTCCATCCCGCGGCACCTCATCTGGATCACCCCCACCAGGAGGCCAAACCACCTTCTGTTTAAAAATCAGTCACCTTCTTTTCTCGGCGGAAGGTTCTGGCTCCTAGGACATAGTCCATGTTCACAATCGGCCGAAGGCCCTGGGGCTTGGGGACGAAGCGCAGTTTGGAGGCCAGGAGAGAGGGCTTGGCTTCCTGGCGTCGCCGGATGTCCGCTTCAGACAGTTCTCGCAAGCGCACTTTGTTGAAGTGTTGTCTGAAACACAGAGCATCTCTCTCAGCACGAGGCCCAGGTCGGAACACACAGCAGACAGATGGCCAGAACACACAGCAGACAGACAGTCGGAGAGCTGGGAAACATACCCACCAAGACCCTGGGGGACCACCCCCCCACAGGGAGCTCAGGGCAGTCAGAGACCCTGGGGGAGCCTCCCCCCACAGGCAGGGAGCCCAAGGCAATCACAAACCCTTCAGGGTGACACTATCTACAGAACCCAGGACCACCACAGACCCTCGGGGAGCCACTACCCACAGGGACCCTCAAGATTCCTGGAGACATTCTCTTCCATTTCCTTCAATAAATACAAAGACAAATAGCTAAGACTTTATCATCTAAGACCTCCAAATAAAACAAAACAACCAAACGCCTGCCTTCAAGTCAATTCTGACTCTTATCAACCCAAAGTGCTAGACTGAGAACTGAGCCATAGGGTTTTCTTGGCTGTCATCTTATGGGAGTAGATTCCCAGGCCATTTTCCATGCCACCATTCGGTGGGTCTGAACTGTCAATCTTTAGGTTAGTAGTCAAACACAAACCACGTGTGCTGGCTAGGAACCCCTTCTAATGACCTGAGTTCCACTTATTTTGTGTGAATTAAAGGAGAACTCGAAAGGAGCTCTGGTAGCATAGTGGTTACGAATCGGTCTGCGAACCACAAGGTCAGCAGTTCGAAACTACCAGCTGTTCCGTGGGAGAAATATGAGGCTTTCTGCTCCCGTAAAGATTTACAGCCTTAGAAACCCTGTACAGGGTCACTATGGGTCGGAACCGACTCCACGGCACATAACAACAACAAACAACAAAGGAGAACTCGAACCATATTTACAAGATTCAACAAAATGGAAGCAGAAAAAAATACGTGGTTTTCTGGGCCTGTTATTTCACTGTAATATAAACTACTTTGATTTCAGAGAAGATTGAGACCGGAGACCATCTATGCACATCTAATTTCATGGATAAGGAAATAACAGCTCAGTTGAGAGGGTTCAGTTCAGCCAGGACTCGACCTGGGGTCTCCTGGATCCCGGCACACAGCACTGCCCAGCCCCCACAAAACAGACGGGGTGCACTGGTCCACTGTGGGGTACAATTCAGTGCTCTGCTCCACAGACATTACGAAACACAGCCAACATTTCCTTTCTGCTCACGTTGAGCCCTGATTAGAAATACCTGATTCCAATGCTTTGCAATTGGTTCCAGACACTCTTCCGGAAAAAGAAAAGTTTGTTCTTCTGAAACATAGTCTCAGTAACATAGAAGAAGGCTCTGAGCAGCCCAACCACGTACGTGTCCATCAGCCAGAGCAGGAACTTGGTCAAGATCTCCTCTCTCAAACAATGCTCTGCAGCCGGAACAGCATGATCCCCTGAAACAAGACCACACTAGAAACCCAGTCCCACCCCAGGGTGCAGAGACCTCAGCCCTGGGTCAGAACTTACATTCTAAAGTACTTAGTTTGTGGAAGGCTGCAGTCTACATGAGAGCCTGAACTTTATTTTGAGTCTTGGAGTAAATTCAGGTTCCATCTGAGCTCTATTACTTCCCAAATGCTACGTTTAGACAAGATCAGGAGGGCCACTGCTTACAAAGAACCAGGAAACTTGCCTGGCCATGTCCTTAATGATGCACGGTAAGTAGCAGCATCCTAGCTAATTTAAGTTAAAAGTTGGGGTCCTGGTGACAATGATTCAGGTGGTCAAAGCGTCAGGACTGATCCTATGACCTTCTAATCGGCAATTATGGTCCTGTCCCCATTTCTGTAAGCCACCTTCAACAGTGATGAATCCATCTGCCACCAATCGTGATCTTGTGATGATTTCCTTGGTTTCCGATCGTGTATAATTAGCCCCATGGCACTGAGTCGGAAGACTCCCTTTGGCTTCTGTGCAAGCTATGGTTGGTTTCCCTCCTCTGGAATGACTGTCTTTGTTTTGTCATTATAAAAAAGTCTCCATGTAATGTATGAGGCTGGGATCTTTCTTCCCCTAGTATCCTTCCCTCAAGATCCACACTGTCCAGCACTATAGTCACTGGCCACTCAATATGTGTGGTTCCACCAGAGAAGTGCATGTCACCTACACATCCATCTCTGACATTCAGCATAGAAGGAGAAAGCATCATACTATAACACTTCCACTAATTCCACACTAAAATGAGGCTGCTGTTCATTTACTGGGTGTGGATTAACGTGGACTGCAAGGTTGGCTTGAGCCTCAAGGTCAGCTGTTCAAGTTCACTAGCCACTCCTCGGAAACCCTACTCAGGGTCGCTATGAGTCGGAACCAACTGAACAACTACAATAAAACCTATAAAAATCAGAACCTGTGCAAACCTGTGCCTGTCAGAGCAGGATTCTCCAACATTTCCCACTCATAGAGAACCAAAGAAAAATGGTCAACACTATGCCAGGTCAAAGGTGGAAAGCTTGCCAGACCCTGAAAAACAAGGCAGTCACAGCGAGTTTCAGATCTCACAGGTTCCACCTGAAATTCCTAGACGAATTTCCTTTTATTCTCACTTTCTAAATGTGGCTACTAGAAATTTCTAAGCACATCCCTGACTATTTCTATTGGGCACTGGTGGCCTGGTACAATACTTCTACTTTGTAAGTGGAATGGAGAAAGCCGAAACACAATATTACAGATGTAATGGCGTATTCCAAAAGACATGTTGAAGCCCTAACCCCTGTACCTGTAAGTGTGACCTCTTTAGAGAAACAGGATCTTTCTTTGGAACTGTTAGCAGTTAAGTCACTGGAAGGGGGTGGGTTCCAGTTCTAATCCTTTCTGAATGGTGCCCTTGTCAAACAAAGGAGTCCTGGGTGCACATCCTGACGTGAGTGCACCTGTTCACTTCTTCTCACTTGTGCACCTCCTCACCTCCTTCTCAACGCTCCTCACCTGGGTGCATCTCCTCACCTGTGTGCACCTCACCTTTCCTCACCTGGATGCATCTCCTCACCTGTATGCACCTCACCTCTCCTCACCTGGGTGCTTCTCCTCACCTGGGTGCTTCTCCTCACCTGGGTGCACCTCACCTCTCCTCACCTGGGTGCGTCTCCTCACTTGGGTGCACCTCACATCTCTTTACCTGAGTGCGTCTCCTCACCTGGGTACATCTCCTCACCTGAGTGTACCTCATGTCTCCCCACCTAGATGCACCTCACCTCTCCTCACCTGGGTGCGTCTCCTCGTTTGGGTGCATCTCCTTACTTGGGAGTACCTCACCCCTCCTCACCTGGGTGCCTCTCCTCACCTGAGTGTACCTAACGTCTCCTCACCTGTGTGCACCTCCTCACCTGGGCTCCGCCTCAGCCACTCACAGTCCTGCACTTTCATCTTCCACATCAGCTCCTGGAGCGAAAGCTTGGCGTGTTTCCCCAGGGAGACCAACTTCTTCACGTTCCTGAGGAAGCGGCACTTGTTGTGGCTGGAACCCCAGAGGCCCGCGGGCACCAGTCGGTGAAGGCAGGCCCTCACAAACATGTACACCTGCCAGGGGCTGCTGTGCTGGCGGAGCAGCTGGACCACATGCTGGCCAGCGTCCTGGTCCAGGGTCCCAATTCCTGCCCCTCGGGATCTCGCAGGAGTGGCAGTGGCAGAGCCCCGCCTTGGGCAGTGCATCCTCAGGAGCGCACCATAGGGGCACCGCGCATGGTTCCCCAGGAGCTCCTGGAACAAAGGACGCATCCGCCAGTAGCGCGGTGGCAGGCGCCGGGGTGGCGTCCTCCTCCCTGCCCGCGTGGTGCCCAGGAAGATGGTCTCCAGGAGACTGCGAGCCCCGTTCAGACTGGCCTGCAGGGAGCTGAGGGGAAAGGCTCTGGGCAACTGCTCCTTGTTCCCAGGGCAATAGAGGAAGCGCTTTGTCTCTACGTAGATCTGGGGTCGCCGTGATGGCAGTAACTTGATGGATGAGGGGCGGGGCCTATGCACCCCGGTCCTCACCGTGTTGGAAAGATGAGTTCCGGAAAGTTCACCCCACGAAGACATGACTTCTGCGGTGTTTCTCTGGCCAGATGTCATCGTGTGGGAATCGCTATCACTCTGCCCACATGTCCCACCCAGGGGGGCACAGGACGCCTTCTCTTCGACCCGAGACTGGGGTGTCTGCCCTGGCTTCAAGTCTGGGCCGCACCTAGGCCTCTTGGCCAATGGTTGCTGCTCGCCAGTACAGTCCGGACTTGGGTGACGCCGCCTGATGCCCCCTGCGGTTCTGCGCAGGGTCCCCCGGCCTGGCCCTGGACCGGGCTCCCACCCATCAGCAGCCCGCGCGCAGAGCTCGTAGAGCGGCGAGCCGCACACCTGGTAGGCACAACTGGGGGCCACCAGCAGGTAGAGCGCGCAGCGCGCCAGCAGGTGGCCCAGCACGTCGTCACCCAAGCGCTGCAACAACAGTCCCCAGGCACGGCTACCGCGCAGCGAGTCAGTGACCGTGTTGGGCAGGTAGCTGCGCACGCTGGTCGTGAAGGCTATGGGAGGCTCGCCACAGGCCTCGTCCAGCAGCGCGAAGCCAAAGGACAGCACGTTCCTGACGCCGCGCTCGCAGAGCCGCTGCAGGACCCGGGCCACCAACTCCTTCAGACAGGACACCTGAGAGAAGAGGAGGCCGCCTGAGCTGCAGTGTAGCGCCCGGCCCGCGTGGTTCCCCGACAGGACCCTGGGGCGTAGAAACCCACCCGCCCAGTTCCCCGTGGGCCCACCTGGCGGAAGGAAGGGGCGGCGGGAGGAGGTGGGGCACCCCAGGGCACGCACACCAAGCACTGGGCCACCAGCAGGCGGAAGGCCTCCGGGTCCCCGTCCCGTACCAGCCGCCGGCCCTCGGCCCCCAGGCGCCCCGCAAAGGTTGCCAGTGGCAGCACTTCGCGATAGCGGCTGCGCAATAGGGCACGTACGGCCCGGCAGCGGGGCGCGCGCAGCATCCCAGAGGGGGCTAGGGCGGGGGGGTGCCCCACGTGCTCCCATATCCCGGCGGCGGGACCCGACATAAAGGATCAAACCCGGCGCGCGCCGCAAAGGGGCGGGACTTGGGGCGGGGCGGGAGAACAGAGTCCGAGGGGAGGGGACGGGGAGGGGCGGAGTCCAAGAGGAGGAAGAGGAGCCTTCTGGGTCCGGCTCTGCGGAGGAAGGGCGCAGAGGCGGGGTTAGTGGAATGGAGGCGGGGTTCGTGGCATGGAGGTGGAGTCTAGGAAAAAGAAGGGTTCTATTCCCAGAGCTTCGCATCTGGGAGGTGGCTTGGGGCGCAGTGAAAGAACGGGGTTGTCTAGCGGAGAGGTGGCTGAATGACCGTACTCACCGCTGTTTGCGCCGAGGTGCCCACGAATATCTGGATGCTCCGGGTGGCCCGGGCCGCAACTTCCCATAGGGGGGGCCGCAACACCGGTCTCCAAGGCCGCTGACTGGGCCAGGGGTAGCAACGAGGGCCCCACTGGCAAGAGGGGTCCTGGCCCTGCGGCTAGCCGAGGGTGGGACAGGCTGGGGCTAGTGTCCTTGGGAAATTGGTGTGTTCTGCATCCGCTAGGGGAGAGGACCTTGTGAGTGGACCGAGCAGACAGCTGTGGGGTTCAGGTGGAGAGAGACCAGGAAGGAGCATTCCTGTCCACCAGCATCAGCGAATGTGACAACCATCTGCAAACGTCACAACCACGAGATCAACTCTGACTATGGGGTAGAGACGCCTTGACAGTCACATGGATGCTTCCAGAATGCTGTCTTGGTAGGGGGACTGGCTAGCCTTCCCCTCAGTGTGCAGTACTTTCTCAGGGGTTTCTGTCTCCTTGAGTCCTAGCCACGCTCACCCTTGGCCGTATTTCCTTAGGCTTCTTTTGAGAATTCCTGGTAGCGCAGTGATTAAGCACTCAGCTGCTAACAGAAAAATTGGTCATTGGAGGTCAGTCACTCCATGAGAAGAATATGTGGCAACCAGCTTCCTAAAGATAATTGCTGTTGTTAAGTGCCCTTGAGTCAGTTCCGACTCATAGTGACCCATAGAATCCTAGTGTGACACTATAGGATAGCACTGGACTGCTAACCATGCGATTGGTGGTTCATATCCACCAGCTGCTCTTTGGAAACCCTATACGTGGTCGCTATGAACCCATTCAGTGTCACTTAACAGCAACAACATGAATCAACAACAGCACAGGGTTTCTGAGAAGCAGGTAGGGGGTTTGAACCACTGACCTTTCAGATAGAAGTCCAGTACTTATCCACACTAGGACCCCATCACAGCCTTGGAAACCCAATGGGGCAGTTCTACTCTGTCCAGTGTAAACTTTTTTTTATGAGTTGGGATCAACTCTACAGCAATATGTCCAAAGTGTGAGAGATGAACTTTGGCCATCCTGATCTCCAAGGAGCACTCTGGCCGCACTTCTTCCAACACAGATCTGTTGGTTCTTTTGGCAGCCCATGGCACCTTCAATACTCTCCTCCAACATCATAACTCAAAAGCATCAATTCTTCTCTGGTCTTCCTTATTCACTGTCCAGCTTTCGCATGCATATGAGGTTATTGAAAAAACCTGGCTTGGGTCAGGCACACCTTAGTCCTCAAGCTGACATCTTTGCTCTTTAACACTTTAAAAAGGTTTTGTGCTGCGGATTTGTCTAATGCAGTACATCATTTGATTTCTTGACTGCTGCTTCCATGAGTGTTGATAGTTGATCCAAGAGAATGAAATCCTTGACAACTTCAATTTTTTTCTCCGTTGATAAGAATGCTGTTTATTGGTCCAGTGATGAGGATTTTTGTTTTCTTTATATTGAGATGCAATCCATACAGAAGGCTGTGGTCTTTGATCTTCACCAGTAAGTATTTTAAATCGTCTTCACTTTCAGCAAGCAAGGTTGTATCATCTGCATATCGCACGTTGTTTATGAGTCTTCCTCCAATCCTGATGCCACGTTTTTCTTCATAGAGCCCAGCTTCTCGGATGATTTGCTCAGCATACAGGTTGAATAAATATGGTGAAAGAATACAACTCTGTCCCACACCTTTCTTAATTTTAAACCATTCAGTGTTCCCGTGTTCTGTTAGAACAACTGCCTCTTGGTCCATGCACAAATTCCTCATGAGTACAATTGTTCAGGAATACTCATACTTCACAATGTTGTCCATAACTTGTCATGATCCACACAACTGAAAGCCTTTGTGTAGTCAATAAAGCACAGGTAAACATTTTTCTGGTATTCTCTGCTTTCAGCCAAGATCCATCAGACATCAGCGATGATATCCCTCGTTCCACGTCCTCTTCGGAATCCGACTTGATCCTCTGAAAGTTCTCTGTCAATGTATGCTTGAAGCCATTTCTGTATTACCTTTAGTAAAACTTTACTCGTATGGGATAGCAAAGAGAGTGTCCAATGATTTCCGCATAAGGCACCAGGAATTGATGGGATAAAAATTGAAATCTTTCAAGAAAGTGAGGCAGCACAGGAGGCACTCACTCATCTCTGCCCAGAAACTTGGAAGACAATGATCCGATCTGGCCGACTGATTGGAAGAGATCCGTATTTGTGCCCATTCCAAAGAGAGGTGGCTATTTATAGACAATGGAAAACAAAGGAAGTTGTCACAAATTGGCAGCAGTGCAACTCATTGCTGACCCAGACAGGGCTGATTGAGACGTCCACTATTGCAGATGAGGACAGCTTACAGGATTGGATCTGGGGCCTTCCAACCACCTTGTTCTGTAAGGCCCTAACTGATTTTGCCTAGCTACTTGACCAAACTTTTGTCAGGCTTCAAGAAGCATTTTAAATAAACTAGGCCTCAGTTTTTAGTTCCCTCCAGAGACAAGGTCAATCAGTTAACCCTCAATATTAAAATAATCCTTGAGAAACTCATAATGGTCAGACTGACCCAGACGAATGAGAATATCCTAAACACTAAACACTTGCAATTGCCAAAACCCATCTGCTTATAGATTAAAAAGGTTGCTTCATGCCAAGACCAATTAAACTGTAACATCTCATACTTTGCCAAATGTCAACCAATCAGAAACTGTATCTATAGTGCTGTGCAATTATGCCCCCTGAAACCCTGTAAAAACTTGTGTGTATAGTGAGTCGGGGTCGCCCTCAGCTCCTGTTTTCAGGAGTCTATGTGAGGGTGGACCCCAGCACATTGGCAAATGTCGCCTTTGTCTCCCGGTTTTAAGAGTCTGTGAAGGTGGACCCCAGCGCGTTGGTAAATAAACCTCTTGCTTTTGCATCAAACTCAAGTCCTGATGATCTTCTTGGGGTCTCCTACTTGATTAGGCCACTAGGGGGCCTAACAGTTCATGCATGACTTTGTGACCCTGGCACCCCAATTTCCATTAAGGGTGTGCCCAGGCAAATTCCTGATATGAAGACTGTCCCTCTCTAGACTAGTTAGGGATGTGCCCATAATCCATTTCCATGTTATTCATGGACCCTCTGCCTGAAGAAGACGCTTCTCCCTACTTTCCTGAATTTATCAAGGTCACCTTGACAGCTGAGCTGTAAGCAGTGTGACTGACAACTTCAAGATGTCACGTGATACAATAAAACATTTTTTTAAAAAAAGATGTCACGTGAACTAATGTCAAGGCTGTGGGCCTTCAGATTCAGGCTAAAATGTACAGTGGTCAATGAGCCCAAATCGGCTCCCTGTGACTCACCCTAGGAGTTGGGTCTCATCGAAGGGTAAGAGAAAATGAAACCCCAGCGGAGGCTCATGCATACAGAATGCCCTATCATTCCAGAGGTCAAGGGACAAGCCACACAGCTGCTGGAGAAAGAGCCCCAGAAGTTTCCAACTGCAGTTTTGACAACACCTCGTTACATTAGAACCTCCCTCCAACAGAACACTTTAGGGGCATCTGGTGTAATGAGATTCTCCCAAACTCAGTTTGCACAGGGTGTTCAAGTTTGACTCAGAAATGGGAAAACTTCTGAGTCTTGGGAGGCCTTTGTGGAGATGATATACAGACACAAGTTTGGTGAATACTCAAATAAATGCTGAGCAAATGTAACCTTTGCAATGTTAAGAAACTAGGAGGGAAGTGGTTGTTATTCATGGACATAGCATTTAAACAGCCTCCTCTCCTCCCTCGACACGCTCTCGCAGATTGTCTGCAGAAGATTGTTTTAGGATTGTCGCAGACTCAGGATTAGAGGAGGCTATTTTAGAAACTCCATTTAGCAAGCATGGCAGAAGTTCCTTTTAAGGATTGTATTCGAGAACTGCTCATTTCTGCCGCTAGAAGATTTGACACGGTTTGATAATGTGTTCTTTTCTGGCAAAGAAGTTACTCTTTGCCTTGCCTGGAGAATCTTCCACAATGAAGATGAAAAATAGCCAACATTTGAAAACTAATGATTTTCTTCTTACTGTTTACTCCAATTTGGGTGGAAGTGTACAGAGCAAAATTCGTTTTCTGTTCAACAATTCAGACACACTTTGTTTTCATGATGTTGGTGGCACTTCCCACAATGTAACAGCATGCATCCCACTTCCTTCCTGGTGATGTGCTGTGCAGTCTGTTCCGACCCATAGCGAGCCTGCATAGGGTTTCCGAGGCTGTAACTCTTTACGGGAACAGAAAGTCTCATCTTTCTTCTTTGGAATGGCTGGTGGTTTTGAACTGCTGACCTTGAGGTTGAAAGCCCGATTTGTAACCACTATGCTACCCGAGTTCCTTTACTTCCTTTCTATGTTTCCCATTCCCATTCTTCCTCCTTTCTGAGATATCATCTCACACCAGCAAAAACAGGAAAGATCAAAAAAGTAGAGGACACTAAATGCTGGCGAGAATGTGGAGAGACTGGGATGCTCCTGCATTGCTGGTGGGATTGCAAAATGATCCAACCACTCTGGAAAGCAATATTGTACTTCTTCAGAAGGTTAGAAATAAAAATACCTTATGATCCAGCAATTCCTCTACTTGGCATTTACC